GCTAATTTTGTATTTTTAGTAGAGACGGGGTTTCTCCATGTTGGTCAGGCTGGTCTCAAACTCCCGACCTCAGGTAATCTGCCCACCTCGGCCTCCCAAAGTGCTGGGATTAGAGGAGTGAGCCACCACGCCCGGCGCTGAGGTAAGCTTTAAAGATGGAAAGAGTTTAGATAGGTGAAAGAGAGAATAATGAAACAAGCAAATGAAAATGAGGAGTGAGCCACCACGCCCAGCCCTGAGGTAAGCTTTAAAGATGGAAAGAGTTTAGATAGGTGAAAGAGAGAATAATGAAACAAGCAAATGAAAATGATAAGGTAAGTTTTTCATGAACAAGTTTCTTGCACTGTCTGTGATAGTGAAAAATGGAAAACATGCATTTGCCACCAGCAGGGGAGGGTTCAATAAATCATATATTGATCATATGCACCCTTTAAAAAAGTATAATGATGGCCGGGCATGGTGGCTCACGCCTGTAATCCTAGCACTTTGGGAGGCCGAGACGAATGGATCACGAGGTTAGGAATTCCAGACCAGCCTGACCAGCATGGTGAAACCCCATCTCTACTAAAACTACAAAAAAAAAAAAAATTAGCCGGGCATGGTGGACACTGGCTCGTGCCCTGACTCCGGCCCCGTTCGGCGAGGCGGTGGGCAGCCGCCTGAGGGTCAGGCGTCTCAAGGACCCACCTGCCCGGACGCCCACCAAGCGCCCGCCGCTAGGTTTTTTTTGTAATTTTAGTAAGACCGGTTTCAACCATGCTTAGCCAGGATGCGTCTCGATCTCCTGGACTCGTGATCCCACCACCTCGCCTCCCAAACGTGCTGGGATTACAAGGCTTGAAAGCCACGCGCCGCCCGCCGCATTGCGCTCTTGAACTCCGACCTCAGGTGGTCTGCCCACATTGGCCCCCGAAGTCTTGGGTTACAGCGGGCATCAGCCATGCGCCCAGTGGGTTTCTTGCAATTGGAGAAGGGAAGTTACAAAGTGGGAAAAGGAAAGGAACTGAACAAACCCCTAAGCGTTTCTGCACTGGACACTAAGAGACACTGGGCAATACTCACAGGCTTTCACAACACACACCGACCGGAGCAAAACGTGTGCAAACATCGTGCACATGCGGAACGTTTCGATTCTGCCCCGCAAGGGCACCCGGGGACAGAGATCCCAGGGAGCCACATCACAGCTTGCACCAGGGTGACGGTGCTGATGCAACCCCCAAGCCTCCTGGAGAAAAAGCCCTGATTTCAAGCATTTTGCTGATTTTCTTGGGATAAATACTTCACCAACACCCACCCCACAACTTTTTTTTTTTTTTCCCAGTTAACTGAGATTGGGTCTCCTATGCTTTCCCAGGCTGGTCTCAAAACTCCTGGTCGCCTCGGGTCTCCTAAAGTGCTGGATTAAAGGGCCGTGATTTACATCCCCTGTAAGTTGGGATTAACACGCCTGTAATCCCAGCCACTTTGGGAGACCGAAGCGGGCAGATCATGATCAACGAGATGAAGCATGCCCTGGCCAACTCGGTGAAAATCCCATCCTACCTAAAAAATACGAAAGAGACGCCCAGGTGGTGGCTCTGGTCATGCGCTGTAACTCCAGCTCTTGGGGAGGCTGAGCGCACGGAGGATGCCTTGCACCAGGCGCCAGCC